TGTATTAAATTTCTACTCAATAATGATCACTTCTCTATTTCTTTTGGTTTCAGTGTAACAAAAATACACCTATTCGCGCCTCTGCATCTCATGTTCTCACATATCTATATGTATTCCGGTGTGCTCTCTCGCGCGAGCCCGCGATGCGAACTGCGCCTCTCATATATCCCAAGACACTCACACTCTCAGATGCATACATACACCCTGGTACACTCCCCGCCCAAACTACCAACACATACCTATAACGATTCACACAATGCGGCAAAAGCTGTAATAATCGATAGCCTGCGAGTGTGAGAGAGAGAGAGAGAGAGAGAGAGAGAGAGAGAGAGAGAGAGAGAGAGAGAGAGAGATTAATATAGCAGACTTACTCGGGATCCAAATATCCAGCGGTACCCCTTACTTCGAGGCTAGTACAGCTGTCTCCTTCTTGAGGTGCATATTTGGAGAATCCAAAGTCGGCAACCTTTGCACACATGCTATTATCGAGAAGAATATTACTCGATTTCACATCTCTGTGTATCACGCATCGCTCCGAGAAGGTGTGGAGGTACGTTAAACCTGGAAAAAAGGTAGACGTTCTTAATTATCGTCGGATATGTAGAAATGCTGTATTTACTGTCGTCGTTTGAAAGCTTTCGCAAGATAAGTAGTATTCGAATTAGTTTGAAAAATACGAATAGTTCCGGAGCTCCCTTATATATATATATATATATATATATATATATATATATATACTTGCCTCTCGCAGCGCCTAAAGCAATGGAAATTCTCGTCGGCCAATCAAGAATCTTCCGCTTCGCTGCTGCTCCTGTTTATTTGACGAATATCAAGAAAATAAATGCGGAATTCGTAAACGGTATCCAGATTGAAAATATAACCGAGATTTTTTTTTTTACCGTATAGGCGGTCTTGTAGAGAGCCATTCGACATGAAAGGATAGACGAGAATTTGTTGGTCGCTTTCGCAACAATAGCCGATCAGTGGGACCAAGTTCTCGTGTCGAATTGCCGAGAGAAATTTCAGCTGTAGAATTCATTACAACAACAACAAAATCTCTCGTCAGGCTCGTTTACGTATGCATGTAAAGTAATCGTCGGCTATCTATAAATGCGACTTACTTCATTGTCGAATTCTTTAGTTCCCTGTGTCGAGGTGGCCGATCGGACCTTCACAGCGACTTCTTCACCGTCGGGTAAAGTGCCACGATAAACGGGTCCGAATCCACCTTCGCCTATCAATAGTTTGTACTTTTGTGTCGCAGTTTCGACGAACTCCAGTGTGAAACTCTGAATAGATATCGATTTCACCGCGACGATTTCGGTGCTCGGTACTGAATATATCGCGTCTGCATTTTAAAAATTCGTGTTAGCCGAATATTAGTTTCAATTCCGGTTACGAGTCGAAATAAATCTTACTCTTTGACATCGGGTGTCCTTTGAGATCGAACTTTTGCGAATCCCCCGTTTTGTTTCCGTACATGCGGACGGAACACGCGCCGACGACGATTATAACCAACAGCGATCCGCCTACAGCAATGCCTACGACTATCTTTCGAGATGAATGTGACGGCACGCGATCATTGCATATCCCGTCGCTGAATTTGAATATACATCGCAAAAATCTCTCAGAAAAAAAAATTGGTTGCCGCATGAATATTTTTCGGGACTCGTTATAGAAAGCGTAAAACGTCTTACTCTGTAGTGATGTTCATCTTCGAAGAAGGAAGATTTTTTTTGTCCAAGTCGCGATTGCAACCGAAGTATCTAGACGAAGAAGGAAAAAAGATGGTGAATTAGTTACGATTTGAAAAATTCTCGAAACGTGGTATACGGTTAACTAACTTACAATGATTTCAAATACGCCATTCCGGAAACAGACGACGCAATGTTTCCCGTGAGATCGTTACGGCTCACATCCCTACAAAAAACGGTCAAAAAAACAAGTTAATAGATGTCTGGTTTCTAATACTTCGGCATGCAAAATAGAGTTCGTTACAGTGAGGTCAAAATCGACGAGGCCGGAAACCGAGGAACCGTGCCGGTGAACCTATTGTTGCTCAAGTTCCTGCATTGACCATTCATTGACCATCAACGACAAATCACATAAAATCAACGAAATTAAAAATATCGAGCGTCGTCGTCGTACAATTCTTTAAGGTAAATCAGCTCGGTATACTGGGGGGAGTGGTCCGTCGAGTCTG